AACATACTAAGATCAGCTAGTCGCAAACTGGCCGAATCGAGGGAATGATTACCGAATCCGCCTTAATTGATCAGAAACTTAAAACTTTATAAAAAATAGACAATCTGACAGGAAAATTTGATAAAAAAAAAACACATTATCTTAAACAAAATTAACAATTAACATCCAAGGTACGGCATCGGGACATACTTATATCATCCCAGTGCTCATACTGCTCGAACGGGAATATTACCGAATCGGCAGAATTTTATAACTTTAAGAATATTAAATAAACAAAAGAAGACAGTACAAAGATTTAAAAACAAAACACCGCTTAATAATAACCTAGAACAGCAAGTACTGAACTTACTGTCATACTGCCGAAGATTGTTAATTTCGGCAGTTTGTCAGACACCCCGATATTAGACTTAAATAAACATAAACACGAGTTAACATTTACATCATTGAAAAGGTATAAAGAGCAGAACTTAAATCTTCATAATAACCAAATTCAACCGCCGATTTCGTAACCTTGCCGATCCGACAGTATGACAATAACTCCCGATATTAATTAAATCTGTTAATAATCATTTATCAATGAATTTAATTTAACAAAAAACTGATTACATACATCATTGTTATAACAAAGAGAAAAATATAAATACATCACACATTAAAAAAATATTGTTTTAATGCGATGCGCGAAAGTCATTAATAATCAGGTCATAAAGCCAGAGACATAGAACTACATATAAATCATCGAGCCACTTAAAAGATCTCTCCCTATTAAAAAAATGGTCAACGTAAAAATTATGCTAAACTTGAAAAGAACTTCGACTTACAGGGGTGTTTTATATTTGTTTGTTTACATGACAAATCTAATCTTTAAAAATATAAGTAATAAATCCATGACTTAATTTCCATCTACAGCTGCGAAGAAAAAACACAGCGCCATCTCCTAACAGAACCTCCCACCATGAAATACAGCATACCGAATATTGGCAACCTGTTCCACGTTAAGATTAAAACACACTTCCCAAACACAGCCCAAAAACACTGTTACTTCCAAAAGGACAGTTATTCTATCTTATTATATAATAAGTTAACATCCATATCCACGTTAACTATCGGGTATAGATATGTACTAATTTAAAGACAAATAATCATGTTCAACGAGACATACATTCGGAACTTTAATATTTATGGTCACCATAACGCATGACGACAATGATTTGAAACTCCAGACAACCATTAACTGCAAGTAACTCCTGTAAAACTGATTTCATATTGTTTTTAAAGCATGAATTATATCACACTTACTGAAAGCCAAATGAGTTTGCAAACATACAAAAAGACAACCAGACGACCTATTGTATCCCAATCAAACAATCCTCTGTTAGCAATGCCGAAAAAATATAAGAACGACAATCATTATTCCACAAAAAAGATCAATGATAATGTTTGTAAAAACAGCAAAAATAAATGCATAATAATAATATGCAGTTCACATTCATAACAAAAATAGAACCGATTCCATAATCCTAGACGAAGTGAAGTCGATTCCGTAATTCGCTCGTCGATTTCGGTAGTAATGGAAGAAATCATCAGATCACCTGTTTATTATGTAAAAGCAATTGCAATAAATATTTTCAATAATCAATTTGAATTGTTTGGTATGCAAGATATTTTTAAAAACTGAAATATAACAAAAAAAAAACAGACAATTCCGTATTTACCTGTTAATTCAGGCACTGTGATAGTAAATTAGTCTATCTTAGATATCTAGTTTATAGTAAAAAAAGTGATATTATTTCTCAAAAAAAATATCGTATTATCAATGATATTATTTGTTATTCAATAAAATAACATAAAAAAAACTATATTACAGGCTGATTCCGCCCATCCTTCCCCTATATCGGCAGTATGAACCAGTAATTCGCCGATCTTAAGTCTCTTGTTTTATTAATCAAAAAGCGAATTTATTTACAAAAATGAATATCGTTGAAAATGTTTATATCTATAAAAACATGCAAAAGAAATATTAAAAAAAAATCACAAATAACCAAATTACAGGTCGATTCCGGTAATCTATTCGCCTATTCCGACAGGTTTCCCGTTTTTTGCCGATCTTCAATATTAATCTTTTTATTATTATATACAGCAATCTTTTCATAAATCTTTGCCTCTTATTTAATACCGATTTCAATAAACATTATAAAAAATCTTTTTAAATTGTTGTATTTAATAAAATAAGTCAAGGTTATTTTTTAAACGTTGAAATATTGGTGGGGGAAAACAGACCGATTCCGGTAATTGTCCGATAGCCCTGACACTGCAATATAATTATGCGATATGGCAGTAATTCGCCGACCTTAGATCTCTAGTTTATTATTTAATAAGGATTCTTCATTTACAGAAATCTTTTTAGATATCTATTATATTGTTTTGCATTTTTTTCTTGCAAAGTCCATAAATTACAATAATACAGGCCGATTCCGGTAATCATTCGGCTATTTCGGCTGTATGACAGTATATGGTACTCGCGATCTTCGATCTCTTGCCTTTATTAACCGAAGGCGAATTGAAATTTACAAAATAAAAGAATGAAAGAAACTTTTAAATATCATTCATAATATTATATTTTTACAAGACGAATATTAACAATGCAACAGAAACGTTAAAAAGTACAATAGACTAAATTATACGTCGATTCCGGTAAATCCTTCGCCGATTCCGACAGTATGGCAGTAACTCGCCGATATTAAATGTCTTGTTTAATTAATAAAAAGTGATTTTATTGACAATAATCTGATTACATATCATTGCTATTGTTTATTTAATATCAAGGGTGCAAACATTTTGTTAAAAGTATAAAAAATAAGCAAATTACAGGCCGATTTCGGTAATCCTTTGCGGATTCCGGCAGTTTGCCCGTTTTCGCTGATCATAAATATTTGTTTATTATTATTATTTAAAAGCGATTTTTTTCACAATCTCTAGGAAGATTAATGATAATATTTAGGTTTTAAAAAACATGCAAAAGGAACATTAAAAGTTGCATAAACAACGAAATAACAGGCCGGTCACGGGCAGTTTGGCAGTAGCTCGCCGATATTAGATCTCTTGTTAAATTAATCAAAAGCGATTTTATTTATAAAAATCTTTTCAAAAATCATTGATATTGTTTATATTTCATCAAAATTGCAAGAAAAAACTTAAAAAGTTTAATTATTACAAAGTTACAGGTCGATTCCGGTAATTCACCGCCGATTCCGGTCGATTCCGGTAATTCGGCCGATTCCGGTAAGTCGTGTAACCCCAACAAATGTACATGACCGTAGTATATTCACATTGAATAAACAGATGAACCGATGTTTTAGAAAAACTACTAAATACAAAAAATATTTGTCTACGTATTAATGTATGAGCTTGTTTATTTTTCTGATTTATACATTTTTACCATTTTTAGGTCAGGACAAGTAAGTCTTAGGTCAGGGCAAGTAGTTTTAAAAACTACTTGCCCGACAGGACAACCTGATTCAAAAGTTAATGTCTAGGCCTGGGATAAATGATACTCGTCGAGTGTTCCGAGTGAAAGCGGAAGCGGTGCATGTAATACCGAATGACACCTTAATAACGGAAAGAATGAAAGGAATTTTTAACGACTTCCCCGTTCGTAGGCTTTGCCTAATTTCATATTATATTTTCATAACAAGTTTCATTGTTTCATGGAAACAGACCTCCACTCAAGGAAATTTATAAGTCTTATTGATGATCATGAAAGTACAAATTGTAGAGAAAGGAAGAACTTACAATTTATGCGCATGTTTTGCCTACTTCAGAATATTTTTTATAAAAAATGTCATTAAAAAGTTTACTAAACAATCTTTGTTCTAAAAGGTTTTTTAATAGAGGGCCGAGTTGACTTGTGCCGAGTTGGTATATGCCTAAAGAATGACTCCTTACAGGCTGTCCAGTCAAAAATTATGAGACATGCAAAGCAAATTCTGAGATATTTTGGCTGGGTACGAATCCATCTCTAACAATATCGCCACAACACACAAAACGCACAATACTTGCCTAACCAAAACTACAATTAGATTGGAACTACTAGGCTCGCCTAACCTGCCCATTGCTAATCAAAATTCCTAGCTTCATGCTATCAGCACAAACACTACCTATCGTCACTTTAAGGCATAGAACGTAGGCACTTTCTTAAAAAGATAACCTAAAACAATAATGATTCAACTGGTTCTACAAAAATCATAAATTCAAGCTGGTGTTTGCTAACCCAATATATATATATATTCTTTTCACATTGAATAAGAAACACTATCATTCAGTCACAGACTGAAATCTTTGTTCTTTGGTTAATTGATAATGCAATAAGTCGTTTTTTGAATAATTGGACTGTAATACATCAAAAGAATTTCCATCTGGTCTCACAAAACCTAAAAAGATGAATTCATTCTGATAAATAGCCGATACTTATCATATACCAGGATATAATTAATATGGTACATCACTTTAAAATAGAATTAAAGAAATGTATTCATAGTCTTGTGAAAATGTAATAAGAGTACAATTGCATTGACTCCACATTACATAACTTAATTTGAAAAAAGCCGTACAGCTCAGCTCACAGCATCCAGCTAACGCTTAGTGCACCGCTTATGCTAGAAACTTTGACTAGCAGTACTGAGCCCTACTGGTACCACTTCACCTGAATTCGAAGGTAGCTAAATGTACATGAGTTAATATTAAACATAACTAGTCAATCCGATCCAAAAGTGCTACTATTAAGAACTGAGCTATCAACAAATTCTATATTTCAAGAGTTAGGTTAGGTCATGATTCTGTTTTTTTCTAAATATCTACTTTTCCATTTAGTATTGCTAGGAATACAATTATAAGTTCTAACATAGTGAATTGGTTAGTAACATGAAAAATTATGATTTGACATACTTAATGATAGTTACAAAGTCACTATAAATTGGTATAATTCTCTCTATCTTACAGATGGCAGGAAAGAGAAGGTCATGTTTGACAAGATAGTACATCTCGTATTCAAACGTGTTATGGTTCTTCATCCAGACTTGTTGATCCGGTATGTTGTATTGTTTAATTAAATAGATTGATAATATTTATTAATACGTGTATGCTATTAGGAAGAAGATTTTTTGTATTCCTTATTGATTGATATTATAACCAAATACAGACTTAGTTCTAACTCTGATTAAAATGTGAGGCTGTTCACATAATCAAATTAAGTGGGTATGCTGAGTGTTAAGTGTCCGACAGTTAACTAATATCGCTAGACATTGTCAACCTTGTCATTGCAAGTCTTCCTAGCAATAGCTCACTCATTGCTCAGTGACTATTGGTTCCAAAACAAGATTGAAAGTGTGTTCTAACAGCTTACACTCATTAACTTATAGCTTCCTATTCAATCGAACTAAAATAAATTCTGTATAAACCTACTAATAATATTACTATATTATTATTTGGTCGTAATTCTTTTGAATAAACACTTATAAAGTAGTGTCAGCAATCATCAACTACAAATCTGGTGATGAGTATGATATGAAGTTAATTAATTTTCAGAATTCTCAAAATATTTCTTATTTAACTGATTATGAATAGGACAGATGTATTTCTTTCATTTTATAGGCTCAGATAACACTAAAGGTAATCAGTGGTTTGTATCAAGGCGTTACCACAGTGGAGCTTGATAACCTAGCTGCTGAAACTGCTGCTACCATGACAACCAAACATCCTGACTACGCTCACCTCGCTGCTAGAATTGCTGTGTCTAACTTGCACAAAGAGACGAAGAAGGTTTTTAGCGGTAGGATTGACTATCTTATACAGATTTTATTATAGCCAGTTTTACGACATTGTCATACTCTACCAATGACTGGTATTAAGAATCAATTATTATCATATATTGTAAAAGAAATGTGCAAAGAACTTGGCAAATAATTCTAAGATCCTTGCTTACTCCCTTAGTATCTTGAAAAGTATTTTTTTAAACACCTTTTTCAGCCAATTTTATTTATGTAAATTAATTTTAAAAAATTGGCAATTTGTAATGCAGAACAGATTCAGATATGATTTAACTGTCACAAAAATTAAGTTTGGAATATAATTGACAATTAAGATATGAAGTTTTGCTAGGTTTTGTGTGCAAATATCAGACTAGATGAAGTTGCATTATGTTTGTAAAAATAAAATTTGGGGTGACCTTAAGAACAATAGATATCATAATTATGAAGTCTTTTTCTCAGACAGGGTATTTATTTCTTTCAGATGTTATGGATGATCTCTACAAATGGATCAATCCAAAAACAAAGAAACACTCACCAATGATCTCCGAAGATATACATAAGATTATAAAGGACAACCAGGATGTAAGTTTATTTGAAAATCTGTTATCTTAAACAAGTGGTGATTTTTCCTACTAGGGCATTCATGGCCGAGTAGCTTCAAACCTCACCCCTCAACACCGTGGATTTGAATGCTGAAATGGACATTGGATTCTTTCATGTGAAGAAGCTAGCCAGCTAGCTTGTGGAACGTTGATGGTTCTACTCAGGTGCTTGAAACAATGCACAGAATGGCACCTGAGGTTCCTCCACCAGTAAAGCTGGAACGTTGCCATATGACCTATACTGTGTTTGTGACAAAAAAAACAACAAACAAGCAAAACTTACCATAGTCGCCCTAGATAATAACTGTGCTATCCTGGCTCTTGTGACAATATCAAGCATGTGAACAGGAGAGTATGCTATATGTTGCTTTTGTTGTTGGAAGACTTTCAGCAATTAGATTTCTTAAATATTTACTGAAACTAGATTTTGCAAACTCCCCTCCCCACAGTCCTCTTTAGACATTTTAGTTCATGATAATAACATAATCTACATGACTATTGTTTTCCATGTTTTCAAAAAAAATGACATGCCATTTGTATTTTTCTTTTTAGAGATTGAATTCTGCCATCATTTATGACCGAGACTATACATACAATTATTTTGGGTTCAAGGTAAAGTATTGCATAAATTCAGACATTTTATAATTCAACTTAACTGAAGTGCTCAAGTTATTACAAATGCAATAATAATAATAAAAAAGAATTATTTAAATAGATTAATGAATTGCCTTTGTTGTGCATAAAAAAATCAGCATCTTTTCACAAAGGATATTTGATGATTTGTGGGGTTTTTTTCACCCTAGTTATCTGTTTTCTGTAAAATTTATTTCTATTTTATGTCTGGTAATATGCTAACATGCTGCTGGGAAGAAAATGGAATATGTAATTGTGAAATAAAATTTTCTTTGATGTTTAAAATTAATTGTATAATATTTCAGACACTGGAACGGTCATACTTGCTGAAGATAGATAATCAAGGTATTTAGTTTCAGTTCTGATAGTAACAAGAATAGTTTTCCTGTAGAATAGTTCTGGTACTAAAAAGGCTTTTCAATTTTCCTGTTTGGTATGTTCTGACCGTATTAAGTCTTGGGGTGTTCAGGGTTGTCATTAACATTTTTTGCAGAAGGTTTGTTTTGAACTTGAGGCGGTCATTTCTGTCTTTATCATGAATAACAAAGAGTGTTTTCTTAATTTTGAGGCGGCCCATAATGCATTTGAGACAGGCATTTTGGCCTCCTGCCGCCTCTTAATGACAACCCTGGGTGTTTTGAACTTTTTATGACTTAATCATTACATAAATCGTTAAGTTTGGCCTCTGAGACTTTGTGAGGTTGTCTGGATCTTTTTTTTATTTCAGCTGTGTCACAACAAAAAATTATAATGGGATTGCGACCAGCTTGGATCCAGACCAGCCTGCGCGTCCGCGCAGTCTGATCAGGATCCATGCTCAGGGCTGAAAATTAGCGGTCGCCCACGGCGACTTAATTTGCAATTGGGCCACCAAAAATTTCAAAATAGTCGTCCAGTCGGCGACTAAAAAAATCGTCCGTAGATTAAATTAATATCCGCCATTAAATCAACTCGTGTGAAAAATCAAAGGAGCAAATGAGCAAATTGGCTCCAAAATTATTGAATTGGCTCAAGAAAATCACGATTAGCTCAAACTTCCACTTTTGGAATCTCCTGTCTAAATTTGGAATTTGCTATTTTAAGAATGGAAAAGTACACATTTGGTTTTCCATTTTCAATTTCCGCTTTACCGCTTCTTATCTCAAAACACAGCGACACAGTCTACTTCTTGTGGGTCATTGACTGGTTTATATTTTTACCTCCCTTTCTGTATTAAATATTGATATGAAAAGTAACACAGTCTAATACACTGACCCTCACCGTTTGTTTACATCAGCTGATAAATATGACACTAATTGTCGTGAACATACCTGGCAGTTTGTTGAATATGCATTGGAAATTGGGTCTTAATATTGCGGCATCCCAAGATTACTCAAGATTATCGCTAATCAAATCTGAAGTTTGGGTATGAAATAGCGACAAATTATGTTCTGCAGTTGACAACTTGACCTGTTGACGGTAAGTTTGCATTCAGTAAATTTTATCGTTGTTGATAAACAGATCAAAAGAAAATATTGGTTAAGAGTAATGGTTGTTTTTTTATGTTTTTTTTTTTGTTTTTTTTTTTTTTCTTTTTTTTTTCATTTTTTTTCTTCGGGGGAGGGGGTTGATTGCCATTTTATTCTAACCTAATTATGCCTTTACAAGATATTTATTTGACATTTAGAATTCCTTGGAAAAAAAGATTGACCTTGATTTGACTTAAAATCAAATTTAAGTTTTGTAACCCCTAAAGCTCTTGCAGAAGTATTCATTTATAAATGGCTTATGACTGTGAAATATTAAAGAAAGATTCAGTTAAGTAACATACAAACAGAAAATGCCTTCAGATAACTTATACTGATTCTTGTACTCATATAATGACAGTAGTACATGTGATTTTATTCATTAATTATCTTTAGTTTAGAATTTTCAATATTATTTTCTTCATTCTTCTTACTTTCAAACTTGTTTCTTCTGTATTATTTCAGATACAGATAGTCTTCAAGCCAAATCTTTGTCATTAACCAAGCAAGCTGAAGCAGCACATTGGAATGTGTTTCTGCTGTTACTGTCATGCCACTGACTTAACCAGGCAAATGTCATAGCTACTGAGCTGGAAGCTTTTATAATTATTGACTGTAAATTTTATAAGTTTGATGTGTTAATGTGATAAAAAATGTAGGTACCAAAATAAAAGTGGACAATATAGTTTATGTTTTCTAAATACCTCATGCCGTACCATTCTTCCTTATTTGAAAATAAAATACAGACACGCAATTTTCGTTGCAAAAAAATTGGCCAAAAAAAAAAATTTGCCAGTGCTAGTCCCTTTCTGTTCATAATTTGTTGGTCCACTAATATATTTACTGGGCCACCAAAATTTTACAGTAAGTGGCCCAGGTGGCCACCAAGCTTAAATGGTTAGTTTTTATCCCTGATGCTGTTCGCTATCAGTTTTGCTACTTGTTGGTTGGTAAGCGAACAGCATGGATCCTGATCAGACTGCGCAGGCTGGTCTGGATCCATGCTGATTGCAAACACATAATGTTGGTTTTGTCGTGACGCGGCTCATTTTCTGTTGGGGCTATTTAATTAAGTTTTATACCTGCTTGTAGATGGGTATTTCTGTTTGAGTACAATCTGCAAATTTAGCACTAGCACATGGTTGGTCAGGCCTGTAAAATTACCCTGACTGGCCTGTGAAAAACAGCAGTCCCTTAAGTTTCTGGAACACCAAATAACTAATGGAACAACTAATTTATGCTTACGTTTGAGTATAGAATTACAAAAAAAAACTATAACTAGTTTTTCTTTAATTAAATATATATTGGGCCTACTTCCAGAGTTTAACATGTGGGCTAGTAGAATACTAATTGGACTATAAGTCTATACCAACAGCTAGCCTGAATAGCTTGTGTATTTCTGATCATAAATTCTTTTACTTAGAATGTCTGTGTCAATTATATAGTAAGAAGAACGCAATATGTTTTATACTTCAGTTGTTGAGCGACCCCAACACATGCTGATGCGTGTGTCAGTTGGAATACATCATGAAGACATAGATGCTGCTATTGAGGTAATCATTTTATATGATCTCATCTGTAAAATGACAAAAACTTGAAAATGAATTGTTAAAAAATATGCCATCCTCTAGCTGGATAGATGTCGGTTGAATCTACATAAGGCCATCCATAAAAAATTGTTTGTTTGTAGTGCTCCGACCGACCCATGAAAATGGCCCCGACTCTAAAAATTTTTTACACCTTCGAGGATTTTTTTTTTTTTGAGATCATTATATACCCATTCTGTTAAAAAGATCTTTCTCCAATAACTTTTCAGACAAATTTTGAACTGAGAAGTAGAAGAGTAAAAGAATTTTATTCCAAAACCAAAATAAACGCACGCTTTTCATCGATATTTTGCCAAACTTCGACCCCGAACATCGGCGATTTCACATTCGCCAAAAACCTTAAAATTTCGCAAAGGGCATAAAAATTCTCAGTTTCCAAGCCAAACATGTGAATAAATTGTTCTTTTGTTAATTATTTAACATTAAATCTTATAAAAGTCGATCCCCTTTCGAAAATATTAGCTAAAATAATTGCCGATCGGATGAATCTCTTACACACTGTGTGAAGCTGTACTCGATTTTCCTATTCATTCCACTAAATGCTGCATATATATACGTACACGGTACAGTTTATGGAAATGATGCCCTCTTCAAGATATTTTTCCAAATATAAAGTTTTTGTCTGGACATATTAAACCAGACTAAAATTCGATTTATTTTTTATATAAAAGTGAAAAAAGATTGCCACTTTGTTATGTGAAAATGGACAGAAATGGTACCCTCATGAATTTTTTTTTACATGATTTTACATGAGTTGACATATCTAACTTTAATACAATTTGATTTTTTTGGTATAAAAATGAAAAAAAAGAAGATTGCAACCTTGCTTCAAAGATAAAATGCATACATCAATGAATGTTAAAATAGATTACCCTCCGTAACCATAGGCCACCACTGTATACATACATTTTTACACAAAATAATACCAGGAAAACTTTATTGTTGACATAAATTAATTTAAATCATTTTGCCATTCATGACTGTCAGAAAATGAGGTTACACTAAAACTTGTTGAAAAAAACAAGTTAATTGATAAAATTTTCGCGGGAAAATCGCTGGAAATTATTGGGTCTTTTCCCGATACTTTTAAATAAGTTATACCTGTGTTTTCTTTATAAGAATGATAATTATTCATTAATTTTACCTTTTCCTAAATTGTAATTTAATAGCCATATTTTTTAATCTTTGATGCAATCATGCACTGTTTATTTTTTCTTTTGTTTTTGTTCCTTTTTTCTCCTTTGTAATTGTCCGTACTATATTCCCTTTTAAACACCCAAATGGGTTTATTAATTGTTGCTCTCTTTAATCCAACTTTCCAAACAAACTCCAGGCTCCAGGACCTGTTGATTACAAACTATACATGTATACAGCAGGTGACGTAGATTTTTCTACATACTACACTGCCATATATGGTAAGAACACACGACTGTGTGACAGGTGTAACATACATAATGATCTATTATTATGCTGGCTAGTGAATGGAGTTAATTAACATGGTTTGTTGGTTAAGTGGCAAGGTAATCTAAATTTTAAAGTGTACCCCTAAAATTTAACAAAAAACAAACAAACAAAAAAGAAAAAAACAAACAAACAAAAACAAACAATAACAAAAAAAAAGAGCTAAAAAAGTCTGCTGTTAGTCATTTAATTTCAAATAATTATATTCTAACCAGATTAATATTATTTGCAGGATAATTCCTTTTATTCAATAGTAATGAGAAAAATGGATTTGCTACACCCCTCCCTTCTTTGTGCATTTAGTATCTGACAAGTCAGGACCAGTAAATGAAATCTTAGGTGGTCATCAAAAAAGGTGGTAATCATTGATTTTACAAACAAAACACCTATACTTGCAGTGTAAATTGCATTTTCAAATAACACTGAAATACTGGTATTGAGACTAATTCTGTTCTATTTTCTCAAAGGGCTAGATCTGTCAAGTAATCATATTGTATATATTTTTCTCATACCACTTGTTTTATTAAAGGTATTGTCACCTTTTTCCAGACATTGTTAATGTCAGTAAATAAGGAACAAGTTCAATTATTTTGTTTAAAGATGAAACAGATGCAAAATAAACAACAAAAAAGTGTTACATTGTATGTCTGTTATCATTTGAAATATTAAACAAAGAAAATATCAACAGAAATACATTTGCCTACATATTTTAATTTGTCTAAATACAATGCACAGTATATCATGGGAGGCTATATACTGTGTATTGCTATACTCAGTATGCTCCAATTTTGTAACAATTTCCAAAAAAAAAAAAAAAAAATCCCCAACCTACCTACCCACCTCTTGAACATAGGGTCGGAGCACTACAAACAAACATTTTTTTAAGGATGGCCTAGGGTTTATAGCCTCTTGATGTTTTATATTAAACTTGGGTTATATCAAGTAATCTGTAATGGATTTATTACACTGTAAACAAATGAATACAGAAAGTATCATACAAGAAAAAGTTGAGAAAAAGATTTCACATCGTATAATTCTATCATAATTGTTAATGTATAGTATATTTTGTTCTATTTTAGACATACAATTTGTTGTCGGAGAAATGGTTTACTCATGCTTCACCTACATTATTTAATGCAGGCACCACAAGACCTCAACTGTCTAGGTAAGTTTCAGAAAAATCTCTATACAATCTTGTATAAAACCTTTTATTTACTGAATTTGTAAAATGGGCTTCTCTAATTTCCATTTTGTAGCTGCATGGGTACAAGTTTTCAGGCATTTACCTGCTGAAGTTCAGATTTTTGTACTCCTGAAAGCATAAAACCAATTGAATAAAAAATGTCAAACTCGGGGTTTTCATGTTTTCTTACATTTTGAACTTGCACCCTTGTAGCTGTCCATTATCAAATTTAAAAATGAAAAAAAATCCAACCGTATCAGACTGGTCAGACTAGGGATTTGCCAAGCAGCATGAAGGTAGCAAAGGCAACCATTTTCCAAAGTTTGACTAATTGATAATTCTTCCTGCCTATTGTACCTGTAAGCAGAGCTCTGTTATTATGCCTCAAATTCTTGCAGGTAAAATATGATGAGCCCTTTGATTTTACATGAGTCAGATAAATGTATCTGTCTGATTTCATGAATTTTCAACAGAATGTGGAGCATAATATATCCATATAATATGGCAGAATATCGGCGATAGATAAGGTCGCTTTAGCTTAAATGTTACTGGTGCCATTAGGTCAAATTATTAGGAGTGAAACGATTACTGGCCATTATACCGAACTATGATTCAGAGCTGACAATTTGATTTGTCTTTAATGTATTTTGATTTGATTTCTTTTCACCCTTTTGTGTAAATATCTACATTCTGATATTAAGCATATCTTAAACAAGCGCTTCTTTCATTGGTTACTTGTTCTCTGTTATCAGGTCAAAACGCTTTTAATGTAAACACTTAAAACATGTTGTTTAAAAATAGTAGACAAACCACAAATAATTGACACTCTTGGGTCATAAAAGTCCAGGGTCTTTCAATGTCGCTAAATATTGCCTTTTAAGTATTCCTTATAAAAAACATTAATGTTAACATAGCCTGAGGAATCAAATCGAAATTAATTGAATCAAAGCAATTGAGAGTCAGATTTAGAGAAAGCTGAATTGAATTTATTGCACTCCTACTGTTTGTTGCATTTTCACACAGAGATTCATTTCCTACATGTTTGGTAATAATGGAGTTTGCTTCCATTAAAATTATGAAAAATTCTATTTCTTCATTTTCAGTTGTTTCTTATTGACGATGCACTCGGACAGTATTGAGGGTATCTATGACACATTAAAACAGTGTGCACTTATATCTAAATCTGCAGGAGGCATTGGTCTTAACGTGCATAACATAAGAGCTCAAGGAAGTTACATAGCTGGGGTAAGAATTTGCTGACAAATGAATTAATGATACTCTTTTTATCCTGTCATATAATAAGTGTTAATAGAATTATTGGTCAGCACTCAATAGGATGAGCATAAGATTGAAAATCCAGAGTTTACTGGCATATTCTGGCAAGGTGGATTTTTTTTTCCATTATGTCTCTTATTTTTGAAATCGAGAGGGATAAGTCAGTCACTTGTGCAGAACTTGGTAGTTACTGGTAATTTATCCAGTAAAGTTGGTTAGGTAGTCGACCACCAAGATATGACCAAAAATTAGTTAGATATAACTGTTAAATCAAATTTTGTTGTATGGAATTAAACTAAAAATTGGGTTTAATGGGAAAAATCCTACCACTTTCGTCATTATATATACACGATATTGGGACTGAAACTTGGATTCATTGTGAAACATAAATATTTGTTGATCTTATTTTTATTTTCAGACAAATGGCACATCAAATGGTTTGCTGCCAATGTTAAGAGTGTTCAACAACACAGCTAGATATGTGGATCAAGGTGGTAACAAGGTACTGTCTCTATTTCAATCATAAATGTTTAATTCTGTTCATTTTGCCTTCAGCAATAATGGTTAACCGTTATTCAATCAAGTAGGGTTTCATAATCGGACAAAACTCATAATCGATCATCGAAAATAATCGAACCACCCTTTTCGATCAATCATCGATTATATAATCGAAACATTTACTATAACAAAGTAAATATGTACAATGTTCATATCATGCTTTAATATTTATAAGAATTCCATTTCCATGTAACCACCACTTTATCAACTGAAATAAATTAGTTTATTAATAAAGATATACTATGCTCATCCTTGAGTAAAATATTTTTATCAAATAAATTTGTTAAAATCTATGAAATTATTATGTCTCACTTCCAAAAAGCAATGAACAAACTATGTATGGGAACAAGTTAAGTTGGTCCTTTCTTAACAAAACTGCCATTTTTTTTTTATAATGACACTATATATTGATATTGCAACCACCTTTAGTGTGTAGAATAATTTTATACATAACATATCTTCTTTGTGTGAAGTCAAAACATTTTTATATTTACAAATAGACTGTGTAGCAATTTCAATATTCTCTAATGTCAAATTTGAGCATAGTATACCTTTAAACTAGCATGCCTCACAGTCAACTATTAACTCCATGGTCACCAGTATACATGTACTTTTATATTCAATTGAATAAAAATTATTGTTTCAACCAAAACTGGCTTTAATTTAGTGTTGTTATAATACAGTGAGTCACTTAAGTAACAGCAAGAAAATAAATTACCGATAATCGATTATTAAACTTTGTAATCGATCATCGCTAATCGGTTCTATAAACGATCAATTTTCGATTATACTCGATCATCGTTTAATCCCTACAATCAAGTATTGAATTTTTACATTCAGACAGTACTGATGTGTGCTGAATTCACAAGACTGATTTTAGTTGACTCGAGGTAAAAAATTCAGATTCTCGGTTATATCATATTATGCCAAGCTTTGCAAAAAATAATTACCTCAGACAAAACTTCAGGCAATTTCAGGATATGTCTTGCGTCTGTGGGAATGTTTTATAACTACAGTCTAACTTGCCCATGCGACCACGTGTATTAAGCGCAGGCTTTCTACTGGTCCCTACTTTTCCTACTTTTTCCTACTTTTTTCTTTTGATCCCTACTTTGCCCTACTTTTTTCTGAAATAGCCCTATTATCCCTACTTTTTCATTTTGAAATGAAATGAAAAAAAGAAGATATTTAAAATGGTATTTCAGTTGTATTTCAGTTGCAATTGATTAATAGTTCAGGTGTGTGTTAGTGTCTCCTTGTGATGTCCACCCTTGAAAAACTCATGGTCAGAGCTGCATTACTGGTACTAGTACTGCAGTATGTACTGGAGCAATTTTGCAAGTACTGGTACTGATACTGAATTACTCTTACAAAATTTTGCTACTACTCAGGTACTGGTACTGCATTACTGTCTTAAAAAGTGGTACTGCTACTGCATTACTAGGCAGTATTTTTGGTTTTGATAAAAATGTCATTATTTTTACTCATAAAGTAAAGCTGTAAATTCCACGTATTATTTTATTTTTGTGAAAAAGTAAGTTATCAAATCTATAAATAATTTGCTGCAATATTCCTTCAAATGTTAACATAGTATTCATCATAAAAAAGCACCAAAGACTTAAAGTAAAATTAAATTGAGATAAACAGAGTCAATAACTCTTTACTGGTAAAATATTCTTATTGCAATCTTATTACTTTGTATTTACTAGTAAAAAAGAGCAAAATAAACACTAATAAATTACTTCTATTCTAAATAATCATATTTCAAGTGATATTGTTAGCACCATAAAAAAGTTATTTACTTTGGTATAAATTGAACAGAGGTGTGAAGGTGTAAAAGGCAACAAAAAGACTGGTGGGTTTAAAATGTAAGATTATTGCATTGTATTACAGTTGACTGCGGTTACAAAACAATAACATATGACATGAATATATGATGATTATTGTTTGTAAAAAGTATGTTCGTTCATTTAAGTTGTAAAAATGCAATGTCAACTTTAAAGTAAATGATTTTATTTCTTTGTTGAATAATGTTTGCAATTATTTTGAATGACACTGTGTATTTATTCAAACTTTGATGAATATATAAAAGTATTAGTACTGGTACTTAATTTACTTTCCCCAAAAAAGTACTGGTACTACAGTACCAAGCTAAAATCAAGTACTAGTACTGGAAATGGTACTGCAAAACTTGGCAAGTACTGGAACTGGTACTTAAGTACTACAGCCTTAGTACTGATGCAGCTCTGCTCATGGTGCCTTGGCCAAACATTCGGCAACATTCTGCCTATGAGGTGCATGTCTTTCAAGCATGGACTGAACTGAAGATACACACAGCCTGATGTGGTCTTGGTGATGGTATGTTTTGCTAATTCTTAACTAAAATGGTAAGAAATTCCTACTTTATCCCTAGTTTTTAACATCAGAAATCCCTACTTTGCCCTACTTTTTGGTAAAAAAATGCCCTACTTTTTCCCTAGTTTTTTTGGTAGAGGCAGTAGAAAGCCTGTAAGCGACTTTTGTGTTATGCAGCCACTTCCAGTCCCCCCGATCATTTTCTCTCAATAGTTTTTAATGTATTAAGTGACTTTTGCTCAACGTGACCAACGACTGCTAATTAGTCAGCTCATTGATATCAATCTTTTCATTAAACGACCACTACGCCCCTACTGAGATGGTGTATATGCTTCGCTGTTGATATTTAGACTGCATTGAATTGACCTTGAACTTGATCAGCAATTGAATTTATCGTTGCAATCAGATGAAGTTTGTTTATTTTAAATGAAAAAAAGCTTCACTTTTTAGGGTTTTCGTGTTGAAAAGTAGGAAATACAATGGAGAAGTTTAAAAATTCTGGAAAATTGTCAAACATGTTTGTAATGGATCAAAACTGTTTTGTCAATAAATATCAGAAAGTTATTTTTTTTACATTGACATCCATTTATATTATCAGAGCGTTCTAATTATTAAACATTTGTATAACTGAAGTTGTAAAACATTCCAACCGCAAAAGGAAATGTCACGTATAAATTTTGACTTTATCCTGCTTTGTCTTAAGAGACCTTTTCATTAAGTGACTGTTTTGGGGCGTTCCCTTGTACTGTCGCTTAATACAAGTTTGACTGTAGTTGTCTGACATGTTTCTTGTAGTTGCCCATTGCAATGCATTTACACTATTTTAAAAAACATGTTTTGTTAAACATAAAATGTACTTTTCCAGAGGCCTGGTGCATTAGCTATATACCTTGAGCCCTGGCATGCGGATATCTTTACATTCTTGGACTGTCGCAAAAATACTGGTAAAGAGGAACAGAGAGCTCGTGATCTGTTCTATGCCTTGTGGATACCAGATCTGTTCATGAAGCGAGTTGAAGCCAATGGAGATTGGACGTTAATGTGTCCGGCTGAATGTGCAAACCTACAAGACTGTTGGGGAGAAGAATTTGAAAAATTGTATGAAAGGTAATGTTAAAAAACGTTTATGAAGTAATATTTTTCTCATTTATAAATATCACTTAATGGCAAGTAATACAGAGCCATTATGGTCTTTCTGTTTATTACTTCATTTGCTGGATTTTTGTGCTTTAAATTTGTAACAGTTAAGATCTGTAATGTAAAATTGTAATTGTAGTGGTAACATTGTAGTGGTCAGACATGCTTGGCTCTGTTGGGGTTTTCATTTTTATCTGAGGCAACAGATGTGCCAACAAAAACAACTGATTTGGCCAAGGGTCAAAAGGAATATTTTAATATACAGGCTGAAAATACAACCGATGTTAACAGCATTTCAGCCAATGATATGAAACGCCTGTCAGTTATTAATGAAAACTCTTTAGACTATGATGATGGCGCAGTCATTAATAATCATAGAACGAGTATGATTTTTGCGCAGTAGATGCACTTTTATTTTAAGTTAACAGAGATTTCAAATTATGTTAAAACTTTTGTTTATAGTTATGAAAAGGAGGGTAAAGGCAGAAAGACAGTAAAAGCTCAGCAGTTATGGTATGCTATAATTGAAGCACAGACCGAAACTGGTACACCATACATGCTTTTTAAGGACCATTGTAACAGAAAATCCAATCAACAGAACCTGGGAACTATTAAGTGTAGTAATTTATGTACAGAGATAGTGGAATACAGCAGTAAAGATGAGGTAAGAGCAGGTGCAAAAATAGTATCGCATGGTAGATTGTTATATTCAATTTCATCACATATTTGTGACAATTGCAACTTGGTAAAGACAGTGTTGCATGGCCATGCATATATTTTAATGTGTGCTCATTGTGTTATACAGACATAGGGAAAGACACAATAAATGTAAATTACACTATACACTGTAAGTGAGTTAATGCTCTTTTTTTTACTGTGAATGTGGACAGTCTTTAGAAAGATAAGTGTATCCAATAAGTTCAAAATTTCGGAGATGTGCACCTGCATTAAATTGTGCATTAATTAAAACGTAAAATATAATGTTGTTGATTTAATTTTAACAAATTCCCTTATTAATTCTTCTAAATGACCTCCCTTGCAGTCCTTTTTATAGTTACGAATTCTATGAATTAAAAAAGAAAAGAAAAGTAGCATGAAGATGGTGTTGACTTTGAGGTCATTAGAAATCATCAGAGTAACCAAGTACTCGATCGGAAAAATTACAGAGTACTCGAGTATTAGTTTTGGTATTCGTTGCCATCCCTAATAAACAGATATGCTCTCTAGGGGCTAGCATAGTATAATTCTATTCAACTTGTTCAATAAATTCTGTATGGAACCTACACTTATTCACTATTCTCTATATTGTAAAGGCTTTGATTACAGAAGGTATAGACAAATAACTGTAATTGTATCAATTATAAAAAATTACAGGTTTTTTTTTCATTTGCATATTTACTATCTTATTGAAATAAGTAAAAACTGTTTGAAATTGTTAATAAATATAAGATTTTAGCCCTTGATTTTATCTTAAATCACATAGATGCGATATCTTAAAATGAAATGAAAGGCGCCTAGCTGAGTCATGACTAATATTCTTTGTTATTAAATAAATGAATACAAGTTACATTTTGAAATCAACAGGTGGCAGTGTGCAATTTAGCCTCAATAGCCCTGAACATGTATGTTCGACCAAACAAGACATATGACTTTGAAAAGTTAAAAGAAGTTACAAAAGTTATAGTGAGGAATCTCAACAAGATTATAGATATCAACTACTACCCTGTCCCAGAGGTAAGATATCAAATATATCTTTCACTGCTTTGTTAGTTAAGTGTGAAAAATCCATGTTTTGAGAGGGGGTTACCAAATACGTATGAAAATAAGCACATGTATATGTGTTCTACGTCATCAGTATTAGTTGTGTGTAGTTGTGTACAACATCATCACTTTTGATACTGTGGTTTTCACTGGTGTAAACTGCTTGGTCTGAACAGTATTTCATTGGGTAATTGCAGATTTATCCTTCAGTACAAGTAAACAACCACCGTATAACCTTTACATTATGACATGATTAACAGGTCATTCATTAACAAAAAAAGAAAAACTAGACCCTCCAAAAAGTTACCTTTTTGTTATATTTACTCTTGTCCTATTGAACAGGATAATTTAAATTAAATAAGAGGAATATGGAGAAGTACAACATATTCAACACCAGTGCTTGTTTAGGTGATTGGTTTTCTACCAGTTTCAGTCCTATCGAACCTTCATCAGGATAAACATGAAAATTTCAATTTAAAGTGCATAAAAAATGAATGTCATTTGAATAAGTTAAAGGGTAAAATTTTACAATTTATAGGCTGAGAGATCCAACATGAGACATCGCCCCATAGGTATTGGAGTGCAAGGTCTCGCAGATGCTTTCATTTTGATGCGTTTCCCATTTGAGAGCCCAGAAGCTCAACAGTTGAACAAGGACATCTTCGAGACAATATACTATGCTGCGCTGGATGCTAGCTGTGAATTGGCCGAGAAATTGGGACCATACGAGACATACCCTGGTTCCCCTGTTAGCAAAGGAGTAAGTACATCATAAACATGCAGACTAGTTTAATAATTAGGGGAAGAGTTGTTAACAAGTATTTATTTAGACATATTTACTTAAGCTCAATTGCAATACAAGTTCTTGCAACTTATAGTAATCACTTTTGAGTCCGAACTTTTGAACCAACCAGTACTTATGTCATATGAAGAAACATGGTCGTGACCTGATTAGGGCTCGGACCCATGATCTCTGGGTTGAGAGGCAGACATCTTAACCACTAGGCCATTGCTCCCTTTATTAACAAGTATTCATTATTAGTATTAAACAGGAAGTAAAGTAGGAAACACGTCAAGCGTAAGGATTGTTTGTTAATTGATTTATTCAGGAAAGTTTCCGTCTTACTAAAACCATCATCGAGAAAAAGCAATTTCCTATGTTAAATGTCTTTTCACTAAGATTGTGTCACTTTCATAAGATTGTCACCTCCGTTTAATTTGTTCAAAAATTGATAGCATTTTTTTATCCGGGTATAAACATTCTATAACTTATATTCCATATAGATTAAGGATCCACTCGCAGTATGGCTAAACACTACATTTGTTCATAATTCTTTTAATCATAGTAAGAGCTTTTAGGTACAGACATGAATGAATTTGCACCTTGCATTGTTGTAGGTTTTAAATATGATTAGAACTTTGTATTCCTTTGAATTAAGCTACATGTATTTAAGGGTGTGGTCTATCAAAGTGTTCCGGACATTGGTGACAATGTTAAAGTCATATCAATAAGCTGCTGTAAAAATACATAATTTGTTCCACAGATTTTGCAGCACGATATGTGGGGAGTAAAAGATACAGACAAATTGGATTGGCCCGGTCTAAGATCGAGGATTGCCAAGTAAGTGAAGTGAAATTTCGGTGTGTGGTTTGGGGTGCGGTTTATACAGTTTGGGGCTGCAATAGGGCCCCATTCACAAAGTAAAAACCTAAACAAAAATTAACATATATTTGATAAAAATTCAGTTACAAATTGTTGTAGGTAAGGCCGTCCTTGAAAAAATGTTTGTTTGCAGTAACCCGACCCAAAATTTTCAAGGTGGGTAGGTAGGTCAATCGATTTTTTTTTTTTTATTGAACTGTACTCCCAAATAAACATGGAATTTCAAAATGCTGGACAATATATCCTTTGATAATCTGGTAACAATTAATAAATTGATAACTGAATTCTAATTTAATAAGAACTACATTTTATTTCTTCTATTAACCTTTAAAAAGAACGAAATCAAAGCACAAGGCATAATTTTCTGATTCAAGGAAAATATTTTTTTTATCCAGACCATGAAAAAAAATTTGAGTAGGGGCAAATTTTGTGAGTCGGTCGCGTTACTGCAAACAAACATTTTTTTAAAGGATGGCCTAATGACTAAATTGAATGTGTAATATTGTAAAGTAACCAAAAGGAAGTGTCAATGGCACTTACACTCCACGTAAATTACCAAAAAGTGATCAAAATATGCATAAAACCCTTTACTGTGTTAGTAACGCAGTAAAAATATAGTTGTAAATACTGAAAAATCATATGTCAAATATTACTTTAATCTTGATTTTTTTTTACTTTTCCTTACATCTTAGTACATTTTTCTCAAGTTTGATTTTATTGAAATATTTTGCCTCATCTTGAGGCATGTAGCTTTAATGGTGAATGGTAAACATTTTTTGTAACATCACAGCCTCATGATATTTGATATACAAATGCAACCCAGCCTCTTCTGTCTTTGACCCATTTTCTGTATATACAAAGATGGCATAGTTATCCCATGCATATATAAATAGCAATTAGTTCATCAGCTTATGACTAAAATAATACAGGGAGATAATATAGGTCTTCCTCCACGAGTGGAACTAGAAAGATGCCATTTGAAAACCCAAACCCACTTTGAGAATAAGCCTTTTATATTGTATTATTGGTTGTAATTTCAGACATGGTGTAAGAAACAGTTTATTGCTTGCACCTATGCCGACTGCTTCAACAGCTCAGATCCTTGGTAACAATGAATCCATCGAAGCATACACAAACAATATTTATACAAGAAGAGTACTTTCTGGAGAATTTCAGGTAAGGTGTTATCTTTTTCTGTGATGTTTGTTTGCTTGTGCTGAAAATATTTTCAATTGACGTAAAATTCCATTCACAATTTTTGAAATAATTTATATTTAGAAGTGGTGATTTTCATGTTGATTTCCCTTTGTTGGGGGGATTTACAGACGGGGATATTAGGAAAGGGCCACCTCAAAACAATTAATTCATTAGGGTTGAAATCAAGTAAGGATTGTGGTTTTTCATGCTTAATTGGAAAGAGGCCTTAGCCTCTTGATTTGGAGAAATTTATAGCTGAAATTGCTAATTTGAGAGGAAAAAAGCTGACGATAAAGAAAATTTCCATTTGGAAAAGGCCTTTAATAGGTGTCTGTTTATATGGTGAAAAATTACAGAGGGTAACAGACCTTTGTTAAGGAGATAGAGAATTGATAATTTTAATATTCTATTTTGTAACAGATTGTTAATCACCACATGTTGAAAGATTTGACGGAGCTTGGACTGTGGAATGAAGATATGAAGAACTTGATGATTTCTCATGGTGGCTCTATTCAGGTATTATACCGTATAAACCCCAAGTACTTTATGTACCGTATAAGTGTTTTTTTCTGCGGTGACATTATTTCTGAATTTTCTGCGGTCAGTTTCAGCACTGCAGAAATAAAATCCGCAGAATATTTTTCCATGATTTTGTTCTTAACCTGGTACTATATCTGTACTGCATTATGACCTGTTTCATCTAAAGTTATAACGACTAAGAGATTATAATGGTTAGCGGGTTTTTAAGTTGAATAAAACTGCTGATTCTGTGTTTGTAAGAATGTACATCACTAAATCATTCAGACCATGTATGTATGTAGTTAGTGAGGGTCCATCCGCCCTTTCGGGCACAAAATGCAGCTTTCGCTGTCGAGTACGGACCTCGGACATGTCACCAGTCATGCCCTTAAAGAGTTAATTTTGAAGCACAAAGTGGTGATAATTTACCTCCATGCAATTTCCACCAAGTATTAGCCAAAGATATGAATTTTGAGCCAAAAGTAGGTCACTTTACGGCGGTCAATGAGAACCTAAATGTACAGTAACCTGTGACAATTTTTGAAAGGGTAGCCCTGAAAAGGGCTGTTCGTGCCAGCAAAAGGCCTGCCTTACAAGCCGTCTATCTGTACTAGGGTCTCACGCACCCTAGCACCCCATCCTTGTCATCTCAGCCTACTTTGTAGGGCCACTCCCCTCAGCATTAGTCAGGACACAGGAAGCTGGTCTGCAGCACAAGTTCCGACCTTTTTCGCCAACGCCAGTCTTCAAATCTTCTGCAGATGCCCTGTGCCTTCTCAGCGAAGTGCACGCTCTGAGGGGAAATGAGAAGATTCAAACCATTTCAACCCTTATACTGCTAAATAATCTTATACTTTGTCATCTGATTTACGGTATTAAATTAAAGATACTACCGGGGTTTATTTTTAGCTCACCTGACCACGAAGTGGTCATGGTGAGGTATAGTGATGGGGCTATGTCCGGCGTCCGTCGTCGTGCGTTGTGCGTCGTTCGTCGTCAACAATTGGGTTGTTAACAGTCTAGCAGTCACAGTTATGATTGGATCATCATCAAACTTTGTCAGAATGTTTGTCTCAATGAAATACAGATCGAGTTCGAAGATGGGTTATCTAGGGTCAAAAACTAGGTCACAGGAGCTAAAAATAGAAAAAGCTTGTTAACACTCTAGAGGCTGCAGTTTTCATCCAAATATTCTGGAAATTTGTCAGGAAGGTTGTTTTGATGATATCTAGGTCAAGTTCGAAGATGGGTCATCTCCGGTCAAAAACTAGGTCACAGGAGCTAAAAATAGAAAAAGCTTGTTAACACTCTAATAATTGGGTTGTTAACAGTCTAGCAGTCACAGTTTTGATTGGATCATCATCAAACTTTGTCAGAATGTTTGTCTCAATGAAATACAGATCGAGTTCGAAGATGGGTTATCTCGGGTCAAAAACTAGGTCACAGGAGCTAAAAATAGAAAAAGCTTGTTAACACTCTAGAGGCTGCAGTTTTCATCCAAATATTCTGAAAATTTGTCAGGAAGGTTGTTTTGATGATATCTAGGTCAAGTTTGAAGATGGGTCATCTCTGGTCAAAAACTAGGTCACGAGCTAAAAATAGAAAAAGCTTGTTGACACTCTAATAATTGGGTTGTTAACAGTCTAGCAGTCACAGTTTTGATTGGATCATCATCAAACTTTGTCAGAATGTTTGTCTCAATGAAATACAGGTCGAGTTCGAAGATGGGTTATCTCGGGTCAAAATCTAGGTCACAGGAGCTAAAAATAGAAAAAGCTTGTTAACACTCTAGAGGCTGCAGTTTTCATCCAAATATTCTGGAAATTTGTCAGGAAGGTTGTTTTCATGATATCTAGGTCAAGTTCGAAGATGGGTCATCTCCGGTCAAAAACTAGGTCACAGGAGCTAAAAATAGAAAAAGCTTGTTAACACTCTAGTGGCTGCAGTTTTCATCCAAATATTTTGGAAATTTGTCAGGAAGGTTGTTTTGATGATATCTAGGTCAAGTTCGAAGATGGGTCATCTCCGGTCAAAAACTAGGTCACAGGAGCTAAAAATAGAAAAAGCTTGTTAACACTCTAGTGGCCGCAGTTTTCATCCAAATATTCTGGAAATTTGTCAGGAAAGTTGTTTTGATAGTTTCTAGGTCAAGTTCAAAGATGGGTCATCTCCGGTCAAAAACTAGGTCACAGGAGCTAAAAATAGAAAAAGCTTGTTAACACTCTATAGGCTGCAGTTTTCATCCAAATATTCTGGAAATTTGTCAGGAAGGTTGTTTAGATGATATCTAGGTCAAGTTTGAAGATGGATCATGTCTGGTCAAAAACTAGGTCACAGGAGCTAAAAATAGAAAAAGCTTGTTAACACTCTAGTGGCTGCAGTTTTCATCCAAATATTCTGGAAATTTGTCAGGGAGGTTGCTTAGATAATATCTAGGTCAAGTTCGAAGATGGGTCATCTCCGGTCAAAAACTAGGTCACAGGAGCTAAAAATAGAAAAAGTTTGTTAACACTCTAGTGGCTGCAGTTTTCATCCAAATATTCTGGAAATTTGTCAGGAAGGTTGTTTTGATGATATCTAGGTCAAGTTGGAAGATGGGTAATGTCCGGTCAAAAACTAGGTCACAGGAGCTAAAAATAGAAAAAGCTTGTTAACACTCTAGTGGCTGCAGTTTTCATCCAAATATTCTGGAAATTTGTCAGGAAGGTTGTTTTGATGATATCTAGGTCAAGTTGGAAGATGGGTTATCACCGGTCAAAAACTAGGTCACAGGAGCTAAAAATAGAAAAAGCTTGTTAACACTCTAGTGGCTGCAGTTTTGATTAAAATATTCTGGAAATTTGTCAGGAAGGTTGTTTTAATGATTTCTAGGTCAAGTTCGAAGATGGGTCATCTCAGGTCAAAAACTAGGTCACAGGAGCTAAAAATAGAAAAAGCTTGTTAACACTCTAATGGCTGCAGTTTTCATCTAAATATTCTGGAAATTTGTCAGGAAGGTTGTTTTGATGATATCTAAGTCAAGTTGGAAGATGGGTCATCTCCGGTCAAAAACTAGGTCACAGGAGCTAAAAATAGAAAAGCTTGTTAACACATTAGGGGCTGCAGTTTTCATCCAAATATTCTTGAAATTTGTCAGGAAGGTTGTTTTGATGATGTCTAGGTCAAGTTCGAAGATGGGTTATCTCCGGTCAAAAACTAGGTCACAGGAGCTAAACATAGAAAAAGCTTGTTAACACTCTAGTGGCTGCAGTATTGATTCAAATATTCTGGAAATTTGTCAGGAAGGTTGTTTTGATGATTTCTAGGTCAAGTTTGAAGATGGGTCATCTCAGGTCAAAAACTAGGTCACAGGAGTTAAAAATAGAAAAAGCTTGTTTACACTCTAGTGGCTGCAGTTTTTATTCAAATATTCTGGAAATTTGTCAAGAATGTTGTTTTGATGTTTTCTGGGTCAAGTGCTAGATTGGTCATGTCCGGTCAAAAACTAGGTCACAGGAGCTAAAAATAGAACAATCTTTTTAACACTCTAGTGGCTGCAGTTTTGATCCAAATTTCCTGGAAATTGGTCAGGAAGGTTGTTTTGATGATTTCTAGGTCAAGTTTGAATATAGGTCGTGTCCAGTCAAAAATTAGGTCACATTGCCCAAATATGGAAAAATCTTTATAACACACTAGAGGTCACATGTTTGACTCAGTCGCATCAAACTTGGTCATGATGCTTGTTTAAGACATTGCTTGGATGCGGTTGTGTCAGGTGAGCGATCCAGGGCCATCATGGCCCTCTTGTTTCACACATCATTTCAAGCTGATCAAGCGCGGAGGAAGGTTGTCTAGTACTGGTGTAACTCTCCAGGAACGATGGTTAGGAAACTACCCGCCTATGTGACTGAAATGCTGTTGGGAAAAGGCGTAAAATTAAACAAACAAACAAACAAGATGCATACCTTTCTATTGTTGTGCAATATATCTGTTTGCAAGGAAACAATATAATTGTTTTTAATTACTGTACAGTTTTGTGGTGACAACGATAAATAAATGCCAATTTGTACATGCAAATAAAATAGAGTAATGTGACTTAGACTTTGATAAGAAGAGTCGCAGAAATTGAATCACGTTTTGTCCAAGAATGTGCTGCAGAAATATAAAAAAAATGCCAAGATTTGGAAAAACCGCAGAATTTGGAGCCCGCCGAAAAAACCATTGATACGGTATAGGAAGTACCTAGGAACAAGTTTCATAATTAAATATAAGTGGCAAAAAAAAAAAATTATATAAACAGAGTTGTTTTAATACACCCGTCATATTCTTTAGATTCCTTTTGTCAATTTGCAGTAAAGACTATGCATCTCGTTTTGATAACATTTAAATCACATTTAAAAAATTTAAATGTTCTTATAGTGGACAGGTTCATATCTCAGGAAAAAAATAAAATGGCCTGTAGATGTTCTTGTAAAAATGTCAAACTTTCCTTTTTTCTTAAGGTCGGGAACTTTATATAATAGAGATGTTTGCAAGTTGTGCTTTTGCATTAAAAACCTATTAACATGGTGGACACTTTATCCCAGTTGCTATGGATTTATCACAAGTGGCATGGTACAAAGATTTATGTTAAAGAGTACATTGTATTTTTCCCTTGTACTGAATTTCAGAATATAGATGGTATACCTGACGAAATTAAGCAGTTGTACAAGACTGTATGGGAGATATCTCAGAAAACTGTGCTGAAAATGGCCGCTGATCGTGGTGCATACATTGACCAGAGTCAATCATTGAATATCCACATTGCAGAACCAAACTATGGCAAATTAACTAGCATGCACTTCTATGCGTGGAAACTTGTAAGTAAAACACTTGATAGATTCTAATAATTCAAAATGTTTACTGATGTGAGATTAAGCCATTATAAACACTTTATTTTCTGTACATAAATTGCTATATTACAAAAGAGCTGATTATCAGGCTTCGTTATTTCAGGATCTCAACTCGTGTCCAAAAGCATAAAAACATAACATTCAAATTTCTTACATTGGTCAACTGGAGCACATTCATATCTTCATCATATTGTACATTGTTGTCAAAAAAAATCCAGTTGTGTCAAAAAATGTCAATGGAGTTGCTTTATGACAATACAATAAGGAAATTGAACATACAATCTAAAAAAATATGATGATACAATTATTGTTCCTTCTATAAGTCCAATGAGGTAGTCTTTATTTTTAATAGTCACAAAAACAATTCCTATACCGGTGTGTCTTGTTAAAAATAACATCACATTTGTGCGTGTTTGTGACCTATTAATAGCCATTGTACATTTATAACTGAATTTGTTCATCCTAAACTGATATTCATCCTAGCTACTTTGGAAATATATACATAATCGTAAGTTTATTTGTAAATATGTTTTGAAGTTTTTCATTTTTAACGTATTACAGGGATTGAAGACTGGTATGTACTATTTGAGAACTAAACCAGCCGCACAGGCCATCCAGTTTACAGTGGATAAGACAAAAATAGCTCAAATGAACAAAGCTAAAACAGAATCTGGAGCCAATTCTTCCGAGACAAAACAAGAAGAGAACATGTCGGCCATGGTGTGCTCGCTTCAGAATAAAGACGACTGTTTGATGTGTGGATCTTAAAACTGTGGCTTTATATAAAAAAGACACCTCAGGAGTAGATTGGAAAATGATCTGTTGACTTTAAATCTCCAAACTAGTGCTTGTTTGTTTTACATTCAGGACCTTTCTTGTTCAGGAGAGTTGTAAAACGATAAATGTCTGCAAATGAATGTGGATGGTCTTATTGACAAATTTCTTGAACTGTACATGAATAAAATTCAGACTGGTGTATTACTAGCAATGTTAGAATGACGTCGTGTTCAAGATAATATAATGTAAAAATGTTTTGACGCTATATTTATTTGCCATACAGTTAAGTGTATTTATTGAAAATTAAAGTTTTTGGTAGACAAAAATGAATAAGGTATAGTTTAATATATTATACTTCAATTATGAATAATAAAAGAAATATGTATGAAAATTAACAATGTGTTTTTCATCAAAATTTGCTTATTATTGATAAAGAATTGGAGAAATAAAAATTTGAGTATGGAAAACATGATGTATAAAAAGCCTATACAGGCTGTTTCAAATTATCACTTGCATGTATGTATACATGCATTTTATTCTAGTTGGAAAGTTGACAAACTTGATGCCAATTCTTGTTGAGGCTGGCCATCTGTTTGTGCTTCTCAAACCACACAACCAGTTTTGTTAACACTTGACAGAATAATTGTCATGTTTACTTGAGCATATCATAAGAAGTATGACCTTGACCTTTTAAGGTTGATTCCTTACATTTTGCTGAAATCGGCTATAACTTATTAATGGATAATTGTTTATAACAACTCGATGAACTTTAAGTAGGTCAAACTCAACATGACCTTTATGATGACATTATTGAAATTTGGCAAATATTAGCATTATTTACAGCATGTGAAGATGTGGATCTCATAATCTGGGGTTTTGTGTGTGAATTCAGTTTTGTTGATTATTGCCATTGACTTGGTAAAAATTTGCAATTTACAACTTGTGTTTTGTGTAGCTAAAAAGTGTTTGACCTGGATTCATAATACTAAAAAAGCGGTATAGATGGATACCGAAAATAAGCTATTTTCGCGAAAATAAGATCGCGGCTACAAAAATAAGATTTATTTTTGAAATAGTTTATTTATCTGTTTAAATAATTACGTTAGTTATATATTTATGCATTCTTTTAATGATTTAACAGCAAAATAAAATTTCAGAACCCCAAATATATTTTTTTAAAAAGTGCAGTTTGAGCCAAAAATACATATGTACAAAATACCTAAAATTGCCAATTAGATCGGGTCTACGAAAATAAGATTTATTATTTAATTTTACCCATGAAATATGGTGCTATATCAGTCAAATATATTTCATATTTTTCAAAAATAAATATTTATTTTCAGGGACTTCTTTCGCCATTTTGTTTGAAATATCTGATAAATACAAAACAACTTGTTGTTGAATTTTGCTTTAAAAACTATTTAGAATGATAGAAAATGGTCTTACTAAGAAAATAAATCCGAACACCAATATCTTTAATTCAGTTATTAACGCTGTACAGACGTTTAAACAGTTTTTTACGTGACGTCACAATGTAGCGCCAAATATCGCGTGCAAAGCAAGTAATAATAATACAAGTAAAATGGTTTCCTGCGGTGAACATTTTAATGATGTAAAGATATTTCATTTAACTATTTTCAACATTATTTGGGGGGATAAATAAACGTTTGTATTAGGAATATAGTTGACAATTGAATAAACGATAAATGTAGAAGAAGGTCTTTGGAAACTGGTGACAGTTGAAGACCGGAGAAGGTTGAACCTAAAACAATTATTTCTTTTTAAGAAAATGATTAAATAGGCCTACCATTTTATGAATAATTCCGAGCAAAAAATAAATAAAGTAAACACACAAGTTTACGCAGAAAATATCTCTATTTATTATGGCAGATGCCACTACAAATATTTCAATTTTGTAGATTTTCAGTATAAACAAATAATTGTTTGTAAAATTTGAGATAGATATTAAAGAAACATTGATAATTTTCAATCACATCATTCAAGTTTTTCCACCTTAAACGGTAAAATAATTATAGAATATTAGAAATATCACGTAATAGTTTTTTTGTTCTTAATAAGTAATTCGGACTATCCGTAACGTACCGGCAAACGGTATTTAGCTAGGTTTTCGAAAAGGTCAATTAACCAATCATGTGCGGTTTACAGATCACATGCTCCTCCATGTACCGAAAACAGGTCACGTGCTCCTCCATGTCTCAAAAGTTAAACGCGTACCAATACCCTGCGGTCTGCAGACCGCAGGTGCGCGCTGTACAATTGCAGCTGATAATGAAATTAAATAAAAAGGTTATTTTTTCGTTTTTCGTGAAATATGGTATATATTTTCACTCAACATGATAAAATGCCACATATTTTCACTAGCCGTCCTGGCTCGTGAAAATATGTGGCATTTGATCATGTTTCGTGAAAATAATATTTCACTCAAACGAAAAAATATCCTCTTAATATTTCATTACAAAACATTTCATTCTTTATTATTTCATTCATACAAATCACTTAATAACAACAAAAATACGTTTTTAATACAATTATATAAAAAAATAAATCTTATTTTCGTAGACTCGATTACACGGCAATTTGAGGTATTTTCGTACGATGGTATATATATTTTCGGCTCAAACCTCACTTTTTGAAATACATGTATACCTGAAATTTATCATTTAATTCATATAAATCATTCATAACCAACAAAAAACATTTGTAATACATTATATCAAAAATAAATCTTATTTTCGTAGACCCGATCTTATTTTCGCGAAAATAACTTATTTTCGGTTTCCATCTATACGCCTAAAAAAGTGCTAGTCAGCAACTTTAGTTGTGCATTTAGGGTTTTACTTGTATATTTATTCAGGATTGTAGAAAATTGTCCATTATTTCGAAAAAAATTGGGTTGTGCATACCTCTAAAATTGCTTGATCAAAGTCAACAAACTACAGCAATGTTGATCAGCATATGAAGTTATTTAGTTCGCCTGCGGTTTTGATGTGGATTAATTCAATAACTAGCAATTTTCAACATTGTGTAACTCAAAAAGTATTTGACATAGAGTCGTGAAACTTTACAGGAATGTTGGTGAGCATGTGTAGTTGCGCATCTGGAGTTTTACTCGTTTTTCTTTAGGCTTACTTTAGTATATAACATTGAGATTTGAAATTCTTGCAGCTCATTATTTGGAAAAATCAAGATGAAATTAGATGTCATTATATCCCAACCACTTGGGGGTAGACGGAGTCGTGTAGAATTTCTATTGTCTTTTCATACTGTCCTGTTGTATGTCGGTAGACTGACAAAACAGTGAAATGTGGGAGGCATCTATCTGTGTCCTATGGACACGTTTATTAACCAGGTTTTCAACGAAAACCGGGTTATTGTAATGCCGAAGTCGGCGAGCAGGTATCAACTTTTGGTTTCCAATCAATAACTTGAGTTTGCTTTGGCCTATTGACACCAAACATGGTGTGTAGGTAGCTTATATCAGGAGGCAGCTTGGGATTGCTACCCAGGTGTCGGTGATCAAGGTCACTATTACTAAAAACAAGAGCCATGTCAACATGGCCATCCCCCGCCGAATGTGTTTGCTCATTGGAAGAATGTATATGTAGTAGAGCAGAATAATTCCATTTTAAGAGGTCTTTTGGTAATGAAAACTGATGGCTATAGTGATTAAAGATTTGAAACCTATGTGAATACTGATGGCTGAAAATAACAAAGGGCAATAACTGAAAAAAAATGCAGGGTAGGTTATCATTCTTGTGTGCTGCATCCCTCCTCAGTAAAATCTATCCACCTATGAAGTTTCAAGTTGATACCTCAAATACTTTTTGAGAAAAAAATTGAATTGAAAAATTAAGTATGAAAAATAACAAAGGGCAATAACTCAAAAATTATAAAAGGTAGAGTTATCATTCTTGTGCAGTGCACACCTCCTGAGTGAGATCTATGCACCTATGAAGTTTCATTTTGATATCTCAAAGGCTTTTTGAGTTATGCTCTGGACAAAAAATAATTTTGAAAAATAACAAAGGGCAATAACTCAAAAATAATGCAGGGTAGAGTTATCGTTCTTAAGCACTGCACTCCTCCTCAATGAGATCCATCCATCTTTGAAGTTTCAAGTTGATACCTCAAATACTTTTTGAGATAAGCTCTGAACAAAATAGCATGAAAAAAAACAAAGGGCAATAACTCCAAAATTGTATAGGAAAGAGTTATCATTCTTGCACACAACATTCCTCCTCAATAAGATCTATCCACCTATGACATTTCATGTTGATATCTCAAACACTTTTTGAGTTATGCTCCACTCGGGTGAAAAATTAGGTATGAAAAATAACAAAGGGCAATAACTCAAAAATTATGAAAGGTAGAGTTATCATTCTTGTGCACTGCACACCTCCTGAGTGAGATCTATGCACCTATGAAGTTTCATGTTAATATCTCATAGGCTTTTGGAGTTATGCTCTGGACAAAAATCAATTTTGAAAAATAACAAAGGGCAATAACTCAAAAATCGTGCAAGGTAGAGTTATCATTCGTGTGCACTGCACTCCTCCTCAATGAGGTCTATCCACCTATGAAGTTTCAAGTTGATAACTCAAATACTTTTAGAGATATGCTCCGGACAAAAATGTCGGACGGACGGAGACTATTTCTATATCCTCCGCCGAAAATTTTCGGCGGGGGATAATAAAAATCGTTCCGCTCAAGTTATTGAGTGCTTTGGCCTATTGACACCAAACTTGGTGTATGGATAGCTTATATCAAGAGGCAGCTTGCTATCCAGGTGTCTGTGGTCATGGTCATTGTAACTAAAAATAGAAATCCGCTCAATAACTAGTTTGCTTTGGCCTATTGACGCCTAATTTGATTTGTAGGTAGCTTATATCAAGAGGCAGCTTGGGATTGCTACACAGGTGTCTGTGATCAAGTTCAAGGTCACTGTTACTAAAAATAGAAATTCAGGTTCCGCTCAAGTTATTGAGTTTACTTTGGCCTATTGACACCAAACTTGATGAATGGGTAGCTTATATCAAGAGGCAGCTTTGGATTGCTACCCAGGTGTCTGTGATCAAGGTTAATGTATTCAATTTTCACGAAATAAATTTAGTTTGCTTTGACCTTTTGACGCCAAACTTGCTGTGTGGCAGCTTTGGATGATTGGATCGCCACTTCCGTATCTTGGAGTAAGGTCAAGGTCATTTGCTTATAATAGAATTTTCAGCTTCTACTCAATAACTTCAGTGCACTTTGACCTTTTGATTGCTGTCGGATCAAAACTTGGTCGTTGAAAACCTGGTTTTCGTCGCATTGCGGCGCTTCTTGTAAAATGTATCATTTGATTTATTCTCGGACAAAACAACACTGCATTAAACCA